GCCTGGATTTTTTTCAGGTGAGCCTTGTAGTGTCCTGGAAAGATTTTGCACAGAGGAAAGACAAATCACCTTAGCATGTTAGATAGGTCACCCTCCACTGTTGTTTCTGAAGAAAGTAAGACTAGAACTATTGTGATTAATCTTTCTAGATGTATATGAGAAAACTAAGACACAGTGCAAAGTTAGTAACTTGTCCAAGATGAGAGGCATGTGGGATGGGAAGAAGAATGTCTGTGGAGTGAATGGAGGAGGGAAGAGCTAGGGAGACTTCCAGGTATGCTGCTTGTCAACTAGAGGATGGTATTACCTTTAAATGGTTTTGGGTATTTTACATCTGTATTATATTTTATTTCTTGGTGGTTGTGGTATATTTCATTTAAGCTACCGTTATTATTAATTCACAGAAAAAAAAAAGTCCTGAATGTTGAGCTAATTTTACAAAACAAATTGTATATCAGCTGATGAATTCAGGAGACATTTTCGAGGCTTTCACAGTGGTTTTAAGGTAAGTTCAGTTATTCTTATTTTTTTAGACAATACTCAGTATTGTTTCTAATGAGCCATAATAAATTAGGGATTTTTTTTTTCTTCCTAAAACAATTGAACTTAACCTTTCAAACACTGTGAGAGTCTCAAACATTTATCCACTGGCCCGATTTTGCTGTTATCCCAAAGCTCAGGACAAGTCAAAAGTCTCAAATGTTTTCTTCTGGTGCTCTTCAGTACAGGCCATCCATTGGATTATGAAGTATTATCACTGCATTTTGAAGATAAGACAGAGGTTGAATGATTTTGCCCAACTTACATAAGAGCTAAAACCAGGATTCTAACCCCCAGCTATTTTACCACACACTGTTTCTGAAAGAGTAAAGAAATTCAGTATGGCGTGTGTTTCTCTTGGGAGGAAAAGGCGTGTTGCTGCAGGGGAACCTACTCCCTGCCGTACAGCAGTGCTCCCAAATTTCCGTATGACTGACCTAGGCCAGATGTTCAGAGAGAGCGCTAAGCCCACTCTGAATGAACATATCCTAATACCTATTACCTAGATGGCATTTTAGAATTTCTAGTGTATCGTGTACTTACATTTTTAAAAATACGTGTGTTTTCCACTGGTGTTGCCTATTCCTAATGCATAAGTGAGCCATAGCAACAGGAAGTTGAATAAAAATAAAAGCACCACACTTGTCATGAGCAGGGGGCTTTTCCAGGGTGAGTCACTTGATACACTTGATTCTCAGCACACAGGAGAATCTTTTAAAATTAGATTATGAGGCCAGCAGATGTGTAGTGGTTGAAGTACTGAACTCCCACATGGGTAGCCATGGTTCAAGGCCCAGACCTGGTGGCTTGCTTTCTCACTTTCCCTCTTTTTCTCTTGGTCTCTCACTGGTAAGTGTGTGTACCTTATAGCAAATTTTTAAAAAAGTAATCATAATATTAAAAATTAAATAACTATTTAAAAATAAAAAAATAGATTAAGTAGTGGTGGGTCTAAAGTATTAGCACTAGAAGACTGCTTCATGACATAAGAATAAGATTCACCCTTTTCTTTCATTTTTTCTTTTTTGAAGTTTATATTATTTTTTTCTTAAGAGAGAGAAGCTAATAGACAGTTACCTGACAGGATCCTATCACATGGTGATCCTTGCTCCAGACTACCAGCTGCAGAGAGTGACAGGTGTACACAGCTTGCAGAGTTCAGATTGACCCAGAATCTGAGCCCTGGTCTTCCATGTGGCTCAGCATTGCAGAGTAGTACCCTAACACCTGTGCTGTTGTAGTTGAGCTGACCCACTTTTTAAATGATGATTAATTACTAGTTTGTGTTTAATGTTCTTCATGAATTAGGGCTGTTACATTCACAGGATGTGTGGCATTGATTCTAGTACCAAAGATTCATTATTTCAAAGAGTAATAGTAATGTTTTGGTATTAGAAGAAAAAGGTTTGGTTACTGTAGCTAATTTTTCAGTTGTGTTTAATAACGCCCTTCAATATTTGGTAGACTTGAGAACCAGCAGTTAGCATAATGGCTATGTCGCTGGACTCCCACGTAGTCGACCGCGGTTCGCATCCCGTACCCGGTGGCTTAAAACTCACGCCGGGCGCGTGTGCGTGCATGCCGAAGATCTCAGGAGGAGAATGGAGGAGAAAGGATTGCAGCGTGACCATCCCCCCCTGGGGGGTGATTTTTCGCTTTCTGTCTCTATGTCTCTCTCTGTCTGGTGAGCGCACGCGCCCTATAGCAAAAACTTCTCCAGAAAAAAAGAAAAGAATTTGGTAGACCGTTATTTTTAAACTATCTTAAGTTCAACAGTATTGAGAAGAATGTTTTTTTGTTGTTGTTGTTGTTTTTTTAACAGTTTTACCATTTTTTTTTTCTCCTGCAACGTTTTTCTTTTTTTTTTTTTTTTTATATTACCTAACATTCATTCCCTGAGCATCATCACAACATACTAAATGTGGTTTCTCATCTAGGATAAACTGCATAGTGGCTTAATCAAGCATGTTATCATCAATAATATTCCATTTCTACTTTCATACATATGTATACATATATATATGTTTTTTATCCTATGTTTACCCTCTGCCCTTTCCTCCTCCCATTATGCTATCTCTGCTATATACAGTTGTCTTCCAGAGGAGTTATTGAAAATGTGATACATGCAAGTAAAGGGAGAGGGGCCACGAGTTTAAAGTTTTTAACAATAGGGAACATAGATTCCATTCAAGGTTGGATCAAGGGTGGATCTCGTGCAGTTCTGCAATTATAGGTGAGTCTCCATGGAATACAGTTTTAGGAAAGCGGTTCTGGTAAGCAGAGATGATTATCAGTCGATGCGGCACAGCAGCCATCTTGTGATTAGCGGGAATGGTGAAGAATGTTTGTTTTATGACAGTAGCAAAACAAAAGTAGTTAATAACACTACGTTGTCTTCTTTTTGTTTGGTTGGTTTTATTTTTGTTTTAATTTGCCGTGGGGTGTGTGCTCACACCAAGAGAGCCAGAGAAAGAGAAAGGGAAAGTGAGAAAGCATCTCCCAGGGGAGATGGACATGCTGTTGTCACCTTTCCTCCATTCTTTTTTCGGGAAGCTGCCAGGTCTGGAACTTGAACTGCGCAGTTGGCTGTGTGGGATCCAGCCACCTTAACCGCTATGTCACCGACTGGCTCCAATATATTGTGTTCTTGAAAATTGCCAGGAGAGTAGATTTTTAAGTACACTACAAAAATGATAAGTATTAAAGATAATACATTTGCTCATTACCTTGATTTAGCTATTCTGCAGTGTGTGTGTGTATGTGTGTGTGTGTGTGTGTGTGTGTGAAAATATCATGTTGCATACCATAAATATATGTAATTTTTATCTGTTGATTAAAATAAATAAAACTGGGAACCAGCAGTTAGCGTAATGGCTATGTCGCTGGACTCCCACATAGTCGACCACGGTTCGTGTCCCGGACCCGGTAGCTTAAAACTCACGCCGGGCGCGTGTGCATGCGTGCCCAAGATCCCGGGAGGAGAATTGAGGAGAAGGGATTGTGGCGTGGCCATCCCCCATGGGGGGTGATTTCTTGCTTTCTGTCTCTATGTCTCTCTCTGTCTGTCTGGCGAGTGCACGCGCCCTATAGTGAAAAAAAAAAAAAACTCTCAGAAAAAAATAAATAAATAAATAAATAAAACTAAGAAGTTGACATTTGAAAATGTAGGAAAGTGCAATATGGAGAATAAGCATAAAAGGGTTTTTTTCCTCTTCATTTATCTTTTTATTTCTCATGTGCATATGCAAATGAGAAAGGTAAAGAGATAAACACCCTCCACAGCATCTGGTAATGCCACTTCTTTCAGTCCCACAGCCTGTCAGGCTTTAGGTATTCACATGTGTGCCCGATGTGTTTTAGGCTAACCAGGCCAGATATTGGAACCGGTCTTCAAGTGAGATCCAGCTTCTCTAGAGCATGTTAATGCTACGCCAGAGTCGGCCCTCTAAAGTTTCTATTTTGGAAATTCTTTTAATTTTATAGACCGGTTTAAAATCTGACCTTCCAAAATAATTCTCCTTAAGCACATGCATAAGAAAAATCAGATATTCAATATTAATTTCTAATAAACAATGAAATAATATTTATCCTGGGCTCAGCCATGGTGGTGTGTGCCGGAACTGCTGCCTGTCAGGCTGAGGCCACGCAGGAGTCCCAGATTTGATTTTCTGCCAACTCTAAAAAGCAGGTGCCATGGCACACACCTTTCATCCCAGCTGCTCAGGAGCCTAAGGCAGGAACATTGTGAGTTCTTGGCCAGTGTGGCTGCTGTAGCAAGACGAAGTAGAAAAGAGCCAGGCTTGATGGCAGGTTTCGTGGTCCCACCTATTGGGAGGCCAAGACAGGAAGATCATAACACAAAGAGATCCTGTCTAAAGCACCACACACATATACATATCACAAAAAAACTAATAATAATATTTAACCTTAGTTTAACCATCAGTTTGCAGTAAAAATAAACTTTACAGCACTAAGAGAAGTGTCACCTAAAAGGATGCACGTGACTCTTTCTCAATCTGGGATTAGTAAAGTATTGAAAAATCTGAGAACCTGTAGCTTTGGTCCTATCTAACAAGGTTCAGTGCCATCTTCTAGGTCTGATGATGATACTTAGATTTATGGCTTAAAAGGACAGTGGCCCAACCCCCCTGGATAGCCACTGACTTTGCTTTTGCCCAGCTTACTTATTGACACCATAGCCGGGAAACAAAGCATTGTGGGGCTTGCCATCTGGAACTGAACTTCTTTACCTGTCTTAAACCCAAGAAGCTTCCAGTAGTTTTGCTTCAGAATCACTAAGAAGCCTAGCTGTAACCTGAAAGTGAAAGAGGATTTGGGCAATTTTGCAGGACTGTTAGAGAACGTGGAAGAGTATTGGGAGAAATGAGGTTAAGTCTGTGGTACTGAGCGGCTCAGGGTGTTTGCTGCATTCTCTCAAACTGCCTGTCATTTATTTTTAGGTATGGGCGAGAGTAACTGTTCTTGGAATAGAAAAGCCCTGCTGCACCGAGACACAATGCTGGCCGCTGCTGCGGTGTACAGAGGTGAGGCAGCTGCCACCAGTCCTGTCGAGGAACTTGGGCTGGTCATGTGATGCTCTGAAAATGGCCAGTGCTTTTCCTTTTCTGTTAAAGTGCCATCCTGTCCTGCCTCGTGAAACAGATCCTGTAGCTCTTATCTTAGTCCAAGTAGCCCTTACTATTTTCTAATTTTCTGCTTCTCTGTATTGATGATGTTTCACGTAAGGCATTCTCAGAATCCTACGAGTATCTTAGTATCCATTCTCTTTGGAAGGCACGACCTTCATTGAGCAGATGCTTTTTCCTACTTGAACTTTGTTAGACGTCAACCATTATTTGTCTTTATAGAAATGTACAGGAATGAGGATGGTTCGGTACCTGCCACATTTCAGATCTATTACATGATAGGATGGAAATACCATGATTCACAGGTAACATATTAAGACATGTCACTTTTATTAGTGGGTTCATATTTCCATTTCTGTTTTATTGTTTATTAACTTAGAGAGTTTTTTGTAATTTTGTATATAAGGCAGCATGAAGGGGTTAGTTGACTGTGTATGTCTGTCTCTTTCTAATATCTCTCATCTTCATTTTCAGGCACGACCAGCTGAAAGAGGCTCCGCAACTGTGTCATTTGGAGAGTTAAGAAAAATAAACAATCTTATGTCACAGAGGAAAAAATCACAATAAATAATTTATTCAATGTTTATGTGGTACACAGTTGTTATCCAAAATGGGTGGCTTTCCCCTCTAAAATGATTACATTTTGAAGTAAGAAACTATTTATTTAGTAACAGACTTTTACATAGTTAGAACAATCTAACACCACATCTGTATGTAGTATCTTTCAGTTTCACATTGTTTCTATTTTCATAAGGCTGTTGTTATCTAGTGATTTGGGTGTCTTATTTGCAGATTCAGCCTTAAGGCAAAGAAAATATTTCCCTAAAAAATCTGCAAATATGTTCACATATATAAATGCCTTACTTGGTAGGAAAACATTACTCATGCTGACATTCTATACTTTATTCTCCTTCTGGTCTTTTGTTATTTCTGTGGGAGGACCACAACCATGAAGATGAAGGGAGGAACAGGTTGGTAGACTCTTTAGAGTTTTGGCTTATTCAAAATGAAAATGTAGATTTTTTTTTTTTTAATAATGATTACTGTAAGGTACTTAAACCAAAGTTATTTGTCACATTGTCATTTTTGCCTTTTAGAGGACTAGAGGGTGGGACAAGCAATTAGCATAATGGCTATGTCGCTGGACTCCCATGTAGCTAACCCCGGTTCGAATCCCAGACCTAGTGGCTTAAGCTCACACTGGACGCATGTGTATGCATGCCCAAGATCTTGAGAGGAGAATGAGCGAGAAGGAATTGAGGCATGACTATCCCCCCTGGGGGGTGATTTCTCACTTTCTATCTCTGTATTTTCTGGTGAGCACACGCGTCCTATAGCAAAAAAACAAAACAAACAAAAACAAAAAACAAAAAAAACTCTCCAAAAAAAAAAAAAGAGGACTAGAGGGTGGTGGATCTTTTCCAGAGCTATTTTGAGCTTTAGAAGCACATCTGTCTTTATTGAATCCCTCCTCACCTCTTTTTAATTTTTTTTTAATTTGCCAAAGGACATGTGTGCTTGTCCCAGAGAGAGGGAGAGTAGGAAAGTGAGCAAGCACCCCCACAGGATGTGGTCACACTGCAGTCCCTTCCCCATTTCTCTCCTTTCAAGATTTTGGGCACATACAACTGCACATGCACCTGGTATGTTTCTCAAGCCACTCTGTCCAGAACTCAAACTGCATAGTGGGCATGTAGGATCTAGCCACCTTGACCACTAGGCCATGGACTGGCCCAGTTGTCAGTCTTAGTACCTTGACAAAAATGAACTTTCTTGAGTCAGTTTTTCTTTTTCTTTTTCTTTTTCTTTTTTTTTTTTTTTTGCTATAGGGCACGTGTATTCGCCACACAGAGAAAGACAGATAGAAAGCGAGAAATCACCCCCCCGGGGGGATGGCCACACCGTAATCCCTTCTCCTCTATTCTCCTCTTGGGATCTTGGGCATGTACACAGACACTCCCGGCACTGAATTTAAGCCACTGGGTCTGGGACTCGAACCGCCATCAGCTACATGGGAGTCCAGTGACATTGCCGTTAGGCTAACTGCTGGTCCTGAGTCAGTTTTTCTATCTCTTTGATCTGCTGTAAGATTAGACTTCAGATTGAAGGCTAGCATTTGGTCTAGTATGTAAGGCAGTTGGATCTTACATAGCCAACTGTGTGATTTGAGCCCTGGACCCAGTGATTTGAAAAACACGCTGATTGGGAACAGCAGTTAGCGTAATGGCTATGTCGCTGGACTCTCATGTAGTCGACCATGGTTCAAGTCCCAGACCCAGTGGCTTAAACTCATGCCGGGCGCGTGTGTGTGTGTATGCCCAAGATCCCAAGAGGAAAATGGAGGAGAAGGGATTATGGTGTGGCCATCCCCCCCGGAGAGTGATTTCTCACTTTCTGTCTCTCTGTCTCTGTCTTTCTGGCAAGCACACCCCTATAGCAAAAATTTCTCAAAAAAAAAAAAAATGCTGGTTGTGTGTGTGTGTGTGTGTGTGTGTGTGTGTGTGTATGCCCAAAATTCCAGGAGGAGACTGGAGAAGGGATTGCACCATGGTCAGTCCCTCCTTGGGGGAAGTTCTTTCGTATTATCCCTCTCTGTGAGCACATGTGCCATATAACAAAAATTTAAAAGAAAATAAAATTGGGGCCAGCAGATGGTGTAGTATTTAAGGCACTAGACTCTCACATGACTGACAGCAGTTTGAATCCTGGACCTGGCAGCTTGTGTCCAAAATCCCAGAAGGAGGGACCAGCAGGTGGAATGGTGGTTAAGGTGCTAGACACTCCCACATGGCTGACCACTGTTCGAGTTTTGGACCTGGCAGCTTGCTTTCTCACTTTCCCACTTTCTCTCTGTGTTTCTGTCTGGTCAAATTAAAATAAAATGAATGAATGAATAAATAAAATTAGATAAAATTTTTTTTTAAAAATCCCAGGAGGAGAATGGAGGAGAAGGGACTGTGGTGTAGCCAACCCCCAGGAGAGTGATTTTTCACTTTCCCTCTCACTGTCTCTCCCTGTCTCTCTCCAGTGAACATATACACTCTATGGCAAAAACCTTTAAAAAGTTACAGAAGTGTGTACTCTGAAGTATCTATGAAGTGAGTTTTATGTTTTTTTCACACTTTCTTCATACCATTTTCATCCACTAGGTGGAAATAAGTACAGTATGGCCTGTATTGGAGACCTGGTCAGTTTTCACATTCATTATATATCTCTTATTTAGGAATGAAATAAAAGTATTTTACCCTGAATTGTCTTCTATCTGGGGGGAGGGGAGACCATCAGTATTAGTAGATATTTGGAAAAAAGAGAGATAACGTGGTACACTGGTTATTATTTTCCTCCTCCATAAGTTACCATTAGCCTGTCTGGCCTAAGAAATATTCTGAACTTTGTATTGGTGACAGAAAGGATTTGTTATTGTTAATCGTGTATCATTTATCATCAGGAAACTTAGCATATGTGGACCTGCCCTTCCAGAAATTGGTATATTTTAATTCTCTTCTTGGCTACTTGGCAGATAATTTATCTTGCTGGTTTAAAAAATGTTAACTTGAAAATAATAGATTCAATAGGCACTGGTAAGTGTTTACTAACAAGGAAATAATGCTTTGCAAATTGTTTTAAAATCTATCCATGCATTCTTTAATATGTTTCACTTTAAGACATGGTGCTTCTTTCTCCTCCCTTTGATTATAGACTGAATTTAGTGATATAAATAGAATTTGGAGGTGATAATTTATCACTTCTAAGACTGGATTATAAAAGGTATTGTTTTCTCCTCAGATCACTCACCCACTCAAGCAGCTCTGTGGAGAGGACTTAGTGGTACGAAGCAGAGGCCACCTGCCCAAAGCCATGTTCAGTAGCCATTTTGGAAGCAGATCTTCCAGCCCAAACTTTCAGTGACTACAATCCTAGGTGACACTTTAACCACAACCTCATGAAAGACCTTGAGCCAGAACCACCTATCTAAGCCATTTTCAAATTTCTTATCCCTAGAAACTATGAGAGGATGAATGTTTGTTGTATAAGCCACTTTGTATAAGCCACTTTGTTTTAGAGTAATTTTTTAGGTAGCAATACATTCTCTTTGGGAAAAGTTGGATGTCCAGTGTATGCTAAGTTTCGCTTTTAAGTGTAAAACCAGCCCGTTTATTTAAAACTAGGTAAAGTTCACATAAGCTACCATATTACATTTGTCCCCAGAGAATACCAGGCCTGAGATACTTTTGTCTGGGGGTTTGATTCCATAGTATCTCACCTCCCAGTATATGTTTGGCTTATTTCAAATGTTATTTTCTAGGGATATTAAGATTAGTTTTCTGGAGGCCTGACTGGACTTGGTTCCTGACTGGGACCAGTTTGAGTGGTAACTAGAAAATTGGGGAAGAATTTTCCCAGAAAATTCAGTGATCTGCCCAAGTGTACCTGGATTTTCCTCAGTCAGTTCTCTTCTGCCTTAGCTGTGGAATTGCAGACAGCTCATTGTCAGGACACTCTGTTGACAATACTTGTTGCCATGCCCTCAAATACATCCAGTCTTGTGGAAATAGGGTGTTTTTTTTTTTTTTTTTTTCTTTAGGGCACGTGTGCTTGACAGAGAGACAGAGCAAGACAGAGACAGAAAGCAAGAAATCATCCCCTAGAAGGGATGGCCTCACTGCAATCCCTTCTTCATTCTCCTCTCAGGATTTTGGGCATGCGTCCACATGCGCCTTGTGTGAATCTTAAGTCATCAACTCTAGGACTCGAACTGCGAAACGACCACATGGGAGTCCAGTGATGTAATCATTATGCCATCTGTTGGTCCTAAAATAGTCCTTTTTAAAAGCCAAACTTGGGAACCAGCAGTTAGCGTAATGGCTATGTCGCTGGATTCCCACGTAGTCGACCGCGGTTCGCGTCCTGGACCCGGTGGCTTAAAACTCACGCCAGGCGCGTGTGCGTGCGTGCCCAAGATCCCAAGAGGAGAATGGAGGAGAAGGGATTGCGGCGTGACCATCCCCTCTGGGGGGTGATTTCTCGCTTTCTGTCTGTCTGTCTCTCTCTGTCTGTCTGGCGAGCGCACGCGCCCTATAGCAAAAACCTCTCAAAAAAAAAAAAAAAAAAAAAAAACTTGAGCCTGTCTTGCTAGCCATTCTTAAAACCAGGCAGAGGTTAACTACCTGTTCTTTCAAACTGGCCAGTGTAAAGCAGCCTGTCTCCAGACTTCTGTAGGAATCCAGTGCATGTGTTTAGAATGCCCATTGCTAGTTCTTTCAGGGTCAGCCCAGTAGAAGAATAATCGGGAGCAATTACCAGGTCTGATGGTTAGGAGTGTTCATGCTTAGATTGTGAATGAGAAGAGAATTCTAGACAACTTGTCAGCTTTTGCCACAAAAGACTGAAGGTAAAGGAAGGGACAGAGACCTGGGGCTGGGAAGTCTAGATTTTGCCCTGACCCTGCTTGTTCCTAATGTTCCATCTCTTTGACTGCAGTTTCATCTGTAAAATAAGATTTGGGTGCTAATACTCAGAGCTTCAAAGATGATTGCCAAGTTCCTAAGGAACTTTTCGAATAAAACATTTCCACTTTCTGAACTTGGCTGAGAATTACAACCAAAGAAAACTCCTGTCATGGAGGTAGGAAAATGGTTGCGAGCTACTAGACAGGAAGATCTCAGAGAAGCTCAGCCTGACCCCAGGGCCTGGGACCCAACACAAAGTAGACAGGATTGCCTTACCACCTTTATGATTTCTCAGACTGTTGTCTTTGAGGAACTTCTTTTTTTTTTTTTTTTGAGGAACTTCTTTTCAAAGTTAACTTTGCTTTCATCCAAAGATAAAGTTTGAGAAGGAAGCACAGTGTGCTTTTCCTTGTGTTCCCTATAAAAATGGGCCAGAATACATTCATTTTAAGTTTCTGGGACACAAAAACAGGCCCCAGATACATACTGAGCACTGACGGCCTTCACATTTTGCATGGAAGATGGCATTTTCTCATATCATTGCTATAATAAGTGACCAAGAATTTAGCAATGGGAAGTGTCTCTGAATTTTGCAGAAAGCTCCCAGTTACTTGTCCAGGTGACAAGGTCCCCTCTATAAGTCACCCCAGAATAGGTAATACCATGGGCTTCGGGTGGTATCATCTGGATGACTACGTGAAGTAATAGATAAAAAAGCACTGCAGGCCCAGCCATTGAGGCCACATGGGAAGCCTGGGTTTGTTCCCAGCCCACCCTGAAAGCAACTATGCACCTCTAGTTCTAGCTGCTCAGAAGGTTGAGGCAGGAGAGTCCATGAGCTCACAGCCAGCATGGACAGCAGAGACACAGTCTGAAAGAGCTGGATAGGGTGATGTATGCCTATAGTCCCAGCTACTCAGGAGGCTGAGGCAGGAGGATTGAGATACAGTGGGATCCTGTCTAAGATAACACCACATACGCACATATGCACATGCACACACACACACAAACACAGCACTGCAAGCTCTGAGAAGCTAGTTGAATACTTAATGTTCTCAACCAAGACAGCTTCATTGAACTTGAACATAGATCTAATGGGTTGGATGGGTTGGTAAAGGCCCTTTTTTAAAACTCCATGGGTTATACCCTGGCCAGATAGGGTATAAACCTTTGGTATTCAGTCTCAGTTCTCATTTTGCCCACTCAATTCCCTATGAGGAGGGTATTAGTACTATTGTCCCCATTTTTTCAGATGAAGAAAACAGGCTTATAGAAGTTGTAGCTTCTCCAGTGTCATGAATGATAGAGCCAGTATTGACTTCACTCTTGTGTCAGATAGTGCAATGAACAATTTTATTACACCAAGCTATCAGACTCCCTCCATATCCTCTCTCCTACCATATCCTCTCTCCAGCACATGCTCAGCCCTGTCCTCAACTCTTTGTCCCTACAAAACTGCCTGTCCTCTAAATTCTCCTGATTCCTGTCATTCTAAGCTCAAGACATCCTTCAAAATCAATTCAGGTTCCTTTCGCCTTGTTTCTCAGGCCATATTGAACTTTTGTTAGTTCCGTCTCCTTTAGCACTTTGAACATTGTTTCCTGACCATGAGTTCTGCCTCTTCAGCTAAATGTTTAACTCCCAAACACTGGCACTGCTGTAGCCAGGGTTCTAGTAGCCACAAGAAAGCCCAGATGGAGCCATAGTGATCCCCATTGGCACAGCACACACTGGGAGACTGGAAAGATAGGCAGTGTCAGTCACATGCAGCTGCAAATTCCAAGGATCAGCTACTCAATTGGGATTCGAGGCTAGATTCTTATTCCAGAGGAATCTGGGTACTGAGCAAAACGAGCATGGGCAATAGGACAAGAATTCAATTGCCTAGATTGGAGACAGGGAAGGGCTTGTTTCCAGAGAATAAGACTAGAACCATGATAGAAGAGCAAAGCCGGAATTACAGCAGAGCTGAATGAGCTTAGCACTTCTATCCAGATAAAATGTCCATCTGTCATTAGATACCAAGATGCCAAGTGGAGTGCTGGTTAGGATTAGCATGAGTTTGGGCCTAGCCACAATGGCACAGGTGAGGGTGCCACTGAGTAATGGCTTAAGTCACTTGGGAGGCCCAGGTTCAATTCTGTACCATCCTAAACCGGCTGGATGTAGGTTGTGTGCCTGTAGTCCTAGGTAGCTGGAAGCTGGGTCAAGAGGATGGCACCATGGTGAAAGGCTGTCAAAAATACCTATCTATCTATCTATCTCTCTCTAAAAAAATAGCATGAGTTCTGATGCCAGACCTTCTCATTAGATCACTGGCTAGTTTATCTTTGGTAAATTACTTGATTTCTATGAAATGAGAGCATTAACACAATTCTTAGCATAGGATAAGCATTACACGTTTTTTAGGGTTGGAAAGCCAAGTTCACCAGGTGCATTACATAACTGGTGCATAACTCGCACATGTTAATCACGGTAATCGGTGTTCAGAAAGAAGGTGGGGTTGGGGCAGGGAGAGAGAGAGTTTCAGAGATAAATATGGTTGGAAAATCTAGGTTAAATAAAACTAGGTCGATCTCCTTCCTGTAAGAGTTCTTGGAATTTTGGATATGATTGCTGTGAATCTCTCAGAGAAGACTATATTATGTGGCATCTTCCAGACTTAGTGACCCTACTGGCCCTTTTATCAAGGAACTTCTTGCAAGACCTTCAAGCTGTTTGGGGAAACCATAACCTAACACAATGCTAGGCATTGTAGAGTCTTGTTTTATAACTTGAATAGTCCCAGAAAGACCTATGTGCATATCAGAATCTACTCACCTGCAAAGTGTTTATGAACTTTCTCTAAGCAGTCAGTAAAGTATTAGGTCATCAGGAAAGGTCACAATGTATCTTTCTGTGCAAAAATTTAACTCGGCATTTGTACCTATGTTTTGATAGGAAAACATTTACTTCCTATTTCTTGTGGTGTGTGCTTCTGTGAAATAAGTCATCCTAACTGTATTTCATTAAACAGAATAATTTCTAGGTAAAGATAAAGTGCCTCTCAAAGAGTACATGTCCAGGGAACCAGCAGTTAGCGTAATGGCTATGTCGCTGGACTCCCACGTAGTCAGCCGCAGTTTGCGTCCCGGACCCGGTGGCTTAAAACTCACGCCGGGCGCATGTGCGTGTGTGCCCAAGATCTCAAGAGGAGAATGGAAGAGAAGGGATTGCGGCGTGACCATCCCCCCTGGGAGTGATTTCTCGCTTTCTGTCTCTATGTCTGTCTCTGTCTGGCAAGTTCACGCACCCTATAGTGAAAATCCCCAAAAAAAGAGTACATGTCCAGTCTTCTCCTCACAGAGCATTAGATCACATCTCTTATATCTGAGCTCTATTTAGAGTATTTTTTTTCCTATGCAAACATACCTCATAACTTTCCTGACCACCAATAGTAAGTCCTGGATGTTGGACAAGTTACTTAACCTTAGTTCCCTCTCTGTAAGAGAAGGAGGGTGATACAGTGTTTTCCCAGGAGGGAGGCTGTGAAGATCAAACAAGTTCACAATATATTTGGTAGGAATAGTGCTGCCTGGCACATAATAAGCATGATGTGTTAGCTGCTATTATTCTAGACAGAGCGAATTTTAGAGAAGCTTTTAAGAATAAATTATTGACTGCTGCTGTGATGCTAGGTTACCACTTTTTCTACATAAAATTGCCTCTTGTGCACACTCTAAGATTGATTAATAAGTAAGTACTGCTTAAAGTCACTCTCCTTTTTAGAAAAGAATAAATCAAATGGCTTCAGACAGCTGTTTTGGTCCTGTGACAAAACTCTAAATAGAGCTCAGATATGAGAGATGTGTTCTAATGCTCTGTGAGGAGAAGACTGGACATGTACTCTTTGAGAGACACTTCATCTTTACATAGAAATTATTCTCTGTTTAATGAAATCCAGTTAGGATGACTTGTTTCACAAAAGCACACACCACAAGAAATAGGAAATAAATGTTTTCCTATCAAAACAGAGGTCCAAATGCTGCATGAAATTGATTGGGTAGGGGGTAAAAAAGAGCTGAGAATTAAGACTTCATAACTTGAAAAATAATTCGATTTTGTTCATACATTTTAAAATATTTTTCTCTTATAGGCCTTAATTTCTCACCTGAGAGGTAGAATTGGAATTATGAATCTTCTGAGCTAGAAGTCATTAGAGCAATCTGGTTTTGCAGTTGAGGACGCTGAATCCCATAGAGAGGGACTGGTTTGACTGCAGTCGTTGCTGGTAGTAGAGAGGAGCTGAAGCATGGATCTTCCAGCATCTTACCCAGCAACCTGTGGCAGGCTTATTCAGGCAACCCCTGCAGAGCTACAGACCCAGCTGGTGCACTTCCCCTTCTCAGGAAGGGAGGAAGCCATGACAAGTCAATATTACTCAGTCCCCAGGGGAACTCTCCATTCCAAGGGCCTTCGCACTAAGTCCTTCACAAAACCCGCAGTCACTCCTCACATTGAATTTGTCTAGAGCTAGTTTTTGTGTTGCAGGTTACAATAGAGCAACCTGGGCTTCATGTTGAGAGCTGAACACAAAATAATACTGCCATCTGGCTCCCACCCCAGAGATTCTGGTTCAACTTGGCATCAAGGATTTTAAAACTACAGACCCTGGTCCAGAACGAGAGTTTGCTGAGAGAAAATGTCTATGTGAATCACTGACCTCATCTTACCCTTCCTTCTGTTGCAGAGCTTTTGAAGAACTGCTGCCGTGTTGGCTATGAAAACACGTGTATCGTCGTGCACTGTGCAGTAGGTGATGTCAGAGAAGTAAGGTGTGTCAGACTGGGTTGAGAATGAAGAAAAGTGGGTGTAGACAAGTTTGTTATTCAGTCCTTACTGAGCACCCACTGTATGTGAGGCACTGGATGCTCAGAGATGAGAAATACCTAATCGCCAACCTCACAGAACTCATAGCCTAGCCCCCAGGGGCCCATGGTAACAACGATAGTTTGCATGCAAAGTTTGTGCAGAATAATGCATGAGAATCCTAAGAGAAATAGGACAGGGTTCCTGCCTTTGTTCTAGTGGTGTGGGGGAACATGAGCACTCAACTGTAGTTCGAGGTATTATAGAATATAAGAAATGCCAGAAAAGCAAACACCTTAGGAGTGCAGAAGAGATTATGTGCAGCCTCTGTGATGAATGAGTGGTATCAGGAAAAGCTTCATCCATTTTTAAAGTGTTTTCTACCCAATTCTGAGCACCTGCTATGTCCCAGGCACCGTGCCAGCTGCTGGTGTGAAGTGAAGGAGCCTCAGCCATTAAGGGCCCCTTGGTCAAATGGAGCAGAACAACAATGAACAGTACAGTACTCCTTCAATTCTTAGTGCTTTCCTTGTGAGTGGTGCTGATTTTAGAGATGTCAAGGTTTGGAACAAGATGTATTTCAGAATTAATGCAATAAAGTCATGACCGATAACCTGGAGTGCTTAGGATTGGCTACGCATGGTCCCAAGTGGTTACAGGTTTTGCTTATTTAATAAAAGGCAATTTTATGCAGTGACAAGTGGCTTGCACTGTGGAGGCTCTTGGGAAACATAAACTGGTGGTGAATAAATGAGGAAATGACTCAATGAATACTAGTGGGATAAACCCTCTGTCCTCCACCCTTAGGCCATCTGAGGAAGATAGTTTTTTGTTTAAGTACCTAGATGCTTACAAGTAATTATTTTAAAATGTTAGTGTGGTCATGGACACCACCAAGAGATGGACAGTTCAATAAGAGTCCCATTTCTTATTTCTAACAAGTCCAAAGAAGCAGGATTTTAGAGGCAATGTGTGTGTGTGTGTGTGTGTGTGTGTGTGTGTTTGTGTGTATGTATGAGAGAGAGAGTGTGTCTTTGTCTTTGTGTGTATGATGGGGAAGATGGGAACTACAAAGAACAACAAAAACAAAAAGTGATTCCCTTTTTAAATTTTAAATTATTGCCCACAGTGCTAATTTCATTTTAAAGGGGGTTAACATTGCAAATTGTGGGTGACTTAGGAAAACAAGATCCATTTATTTATTGCCTTTAGAGTTTAGAGTTTGGTGACTGGATCTGAAGGCACCAGAAATTCTTGGGTGGGACCTAAAAATCTTTTTTTTTTTAAAGTGAGTGATTCTTATGTATAGTAAATTTTGAGAATCTCTAGTTTAGACCTGGTTTCTGATAATAAAGAGATATACTTGCCACACATGACAATGGGGAAACCTGAATTGCAGCCAGGGTTTAAAAACCAAAAACCTCCCCAAACCGCTTCACTCCCTCACTGTGCTTCCTAGCTAAGATCACCTCCTGAGTAACTTGCTTCCAGGTTCTTGTCTCAGGTTCTGCTTTTGGAGGTAACCCAAACTAATACAGGGAGTTTGATTTTTGTAATGAGGGCAGTGTACAATCACTGATGAGTTTAAATGAAAGAAGTGACATGTAATTTCTTTTTCACAAAGACCACTCGATACAATGTGAAGAATGAAATAGAGGAGATAAACTTTAACAAGAGTCCACGTGACAGGTAGAAGTATCCTGAAGGGGGATGCAGGCGATACGTGTGGATGAAATGGAGGGCAATCAATAGGACTTTGTGATTGATTGATTGGCTTAAAGGTTGGGAAGACGGTGAGGTGTGCTGGATAAACTGCCCAGAGGAATGTATACATGGGAGCAGATGGCGCACAAAAGCAATTTTCCTTTGCATTTGATGGCTAAGATTTTTTTAAAAAATATTTCCCCCTTATCATCCCCCTCCTCACTGTCATCATAAAAGTTATACATGTTCATTATGGAAATTCAGAGAAATAACTTGTAAAACAACGTACTTCTATAATTCATCATTAAAATGTCAGCATGTATCTCTCCAGTGTTTTCCTAACAGCTCTAATAGCGACCTAGATAAAAAAAATCAAATCGTAGTGTGCACTGCAGCATTCTGCCCTCATCACATAATATTATACGGTGGGCATTTTCCTGTCATTCTTTAAAGAAATATGATTTTTAATAGCAATATAACATTTCATCATGTGAATATATCATACATTATTTAAAGATTTGTTTGTAGAACTGTGTCCTTTCCAACTTTTTTTCATTATAGATAACTATATGAGGAATTGGATAACTAGGAGTAGAATTGCTAGATTAAAATATAGGAGTGTCTTTAGGGCTCTTGATAATCATTCCAAAATCTGCTGTAGAAGAATTGTGCACTGGTTTTCTCCTGCTACCTGGTAGGACAGCTCCATGAAGGCAGGGACTTGGGTCTGTATTGCTCGTTGTTTTATCCCTAGCACCTAGAAAGCTCCTAGCTCCTAGTAACTATTAGATAATTACTGAACGTTCAACAATTATGAATACATGAAGAGCAGGTGAATGAATGTCTTACCATACCCTCTCTGCACTGGTTAGAGTTACTTACTAGGTCTTTAACATTATGTCAGTGTTGTTTTCCTTAATATTGATTATATTTTAGAAGTATTATTTTATTTAACTTTATTTATTTATTTTAATTTGACCAGAGAGGGACACAGAGAGGAGAGAGAGAGAGAGAAACCGAGCCGCCAGGTCCGGGACTCAAACCATGGTCAGCCATGTGTGAGTCCAGCGCCCTTAACCACCACACCACCTGCCAGCCCAATATTGATTATTATTTACAAGCTCACTTGTTTTCCTGTGGAAGGGTAGTGGCTAACTTTGGCATCTGATAAGAGCCAAATTCAACTACACTTACTAGTTGTGCAATTTCCAGTCTTGCATAATGATTCACTAAACCTCAGTTACCTCATTTTAAATGGACATGATAATAGTATCTACTTTATAGAATCACTGTGCATGTGAATAATAGATGCACAGTACTAATCACAGTGCCTGCAAATAGTAGCATAGATAAATGTAGATTATGTTTTAAATGAATTATTTATATATTCACATCCTTTGTTTGTTTTTTCTGTTTTGTAATTTATTTTAAATATTTATTGCAGACTTATTTATTATAGACAATTTGTGTCATGTTATGGATAGTGCTTTAATGTGCAAACATTTTATTTCTATTTATAGCTGTACAGTTTTTCCTTTGTAGTGACTTTCATTGTTTTGGTGTTTAAAAATTATTTCCCCATGCGATGATCTTAAATTTCATTATTTTTTAAAGTTTATTTATCAGTTTATTTACTGAGAGAGAGAACAAGACAGAGTAAAGCACCCTCAACAAGGTCTCATGCCATGATCCCCTCCACTCCAGATTTTCCCATCACCCAGGATCACCAGAAAGTATGTACCTAGGTTGTACATGTTGACCCGGGAACCAAACCCTGATCTTTAGATTGTTTTTCTTTTTTTTCCAGGCTAGTTTTTCATGGTTCTATACAAAATTGTTTAATCTGTTAGTCATTTCTGTCTGTGGAAGGGCATATATTAGTTACACTGGCCTACGTTAGTTAGCACTTACAAATAAACTGAAAGATCAGTGAATTAGGACAATAAAAGTTCATTTCTCAGGACCAGTATATGGCATAGCAGTTATGTCACTGGACTCCCACATTGCCAAGTGCAGTTCAAGTCCCAGACCTGGTGTCTTAAAACTCACACTGGGCACATGTGCATGTATACCCAAGTTCCTGGGAGGAGAATGGAGAACAAGGGATTTTGGTGTGGCCATCCCTCCTGGGGGTGATTTCTCACTTTTCCCCTCATAGTTTCTGTCTCTGTCTCTCTCTCTCTGGCAAGTGTATGTGCCCTAAGGCAAAAACCTCTAAAAAAGGAAAAAAAAAAAAAAAAAGAACATTTCTCATTCAAGCCTAGTCTATATAAATTGGGGAAGGGCCACTATCTAGTGACTAAGGGATCCATGCTCCCTCCATCTTGTGCTGGGGCCATCTCATCCTGTCACTTCTAAAGTCTTCACTTTTTTTTCCCCTAAATTGGCCCAGTATTCCTTTTCTTTTAATTTAGAGATTTTAGAAAGTCATAGTCAAGAAGATTCCTCATGGCTCCTGCGAACTAGTCATTTCAGGGTAAAAGAGAAATGAAGATTTCCTAATGATAATTCAGCCTCCAGCAAACAAGCTAGCATGGTAGGGAGCTCCTCTAACTTTCTATCTTTGTCTCTGTGTCTCTGTCTCTGTCTCTCCCTGCTTCTGTCTTCTCATTTTTTTTGTAATTTTTCCTTTTTAAAATTTTTTTAGAGATAGTTTTCTCTGCTCTCAGCTCCGCCTTTTGTCTTGTTAATAATCCCCTCTGCTCCTCCCACCCAGGCAGAAGAGGCGAGAGGCAGGCCTTCAGCAGAAGATTCCTCATGGCTCCTGCAAACTAGTAATTCGCATTGTGCGATTTTCTATTTTGTGCCTTTTTTTTAAAGAAAAAGAATAATTATAATTTGTTTTTAGTTTTTTTATTTTTTCCTTTTTCTTCCTGTTTGTTTGTTGTTGTTTCTCTCTCTCTTTTTTGTTTTCTTTTTTCTTGTCTCTCCACTCCTCAATATCCATTTATTGTGTTTCAAGATGGATCTAAGGCCACTGTAGGTAAACATCCAAATACTATTAAGGTTAACATATTCCTCAATATCTACTGAATCTGCTGCACAAAGCAATTACAACAGAACAGCAAAGAGATCCTAGATCACCTCTTTCTGCTTGCTCCCGAATGTTCAGATTGAACTTCAAGAATTAGGAAGAAACACACCATCCATCAGATGACTAGAAATCACCACAGGAGCACAAGATATATGGGAAAGCAAGAAAATACCTCTCCTCCAAGGGAAAAGAATAACTCCTTTTCATCCACAAGCAGTTCAATGGAAATCATGGAAATGTCTGATAAAGAATTTAGAACATTCATAATGGCAAAGCTAACAGAGATGAAAGAGAAGAGAGACAATGAACTGCAGAAGAGAAAGGAGAAAGAAACTGACGAGTTCCAGGAGGTGAGGAAATTCTTGCAAGATCTAAAAGAGGAATTACACACTAAAAAATAATCAAATGAAACTTAGAGATGAAGGCTATAATACAGAAAGTCAAAATCTCCCTTGAAAGTATTAAAAACAGAATACGTCATACAAAAAATAGAGTCTCAGACATAGAAGAGAAAATTGCTGGCCTAGAAAAATCCACCATGAAGACTGAGAAAATTGTCCAAAAAATGAGAATAATATACAAGAAGTACTAGATACCATCAAACGTACAAACATCTGGATAACTGGCATTCCAGAAGGCAAAGAGACTCATAAGGGCGTTGATAATCTGTACCATGAAATCTTGCAAGAAAACTTTCCAAACCTAGAGAGGCTCTCAAAGATCCAGTCCCAAGAAATACAAAGGACCCCAAATAGAATCAACCCAAGAAGATCTCCAAGACACATTATAGACAGGTTGACCAAAACCACAGACAAAGACAAGATACTAAGATTGGCAAGAGAAAAACATCAA